CCTCTTCCTGCTCAAGAAATGCTCTAGAGACCCTTTACTGCCTCGTCGTCTAAGAAAATTGCTCATATCTTGCTTTCTAAAAAATCACATTTTTTGGGAGGATATAAGTTATCCATTTGACAGGTTTGCCACTATCAGGAGGAGGCACACCGAGGGAGAAGGATCACTGCGCTCTTCCATGAGTGCCTGTGACTCTGAACCTTGGTGACTGTGAATAACCTGCTATTTTAGATGCTTCTCTACAAACTATTGCTATCAGACTCCTCAGACTGAGCAGACGCAGAGCTCTCTGAGATGCCTACGTACAGTCAACCACTCTTGCACTTCAGGGCCTCTACTGTGTATGCTGAACGAATATAATCCCTTTATATACAATATATAACCCATATATTGTATTACACACATTTTGTATTGGTTTTGATCCTCTAGGGAGCCCTGCCTAATACAGTAACTAATTCAAACAGCTCAAACAACTGACTACTAAGAATACTAATAATCTGGTTCAAAGCCAGTAAAAGATCTGCACAGATACTTATTTAGAAAGAGGTGTGAATCACCAGATCCTCAGCACAAATTTGGGATCGTCGATCTTCAGAGCAGCAGAAATTATTGGAGGAGGAGACATCACCTCAGGCCTGGTGGAGTGACTCTAACATGAACTACATAGTCAAGTCTTCAATTACACCCAAGATTGAACAAGTTACCATTATATCAATATTTATCAAATGCACCACTTTCTAATAGTGCAGTTTGCCTGACATCTTAAAGCTCCCAGTATGTGCTATAGATAAAACTGTGCTTCCATACTTTCTTTCAGAAATCACTGAAACAAAGTTGCAAGTATTGGAGTAGAGGGGTGTAAAAATCCCAACCCCTCTGGGTCTCTGCTGGGTGTCTATGACATAGAGCAGTGTTCTCATATGAACTCTGTACAGGTAGTGTGTGCACAAGTCTTCAAGTGCTGTTATGAGGTGCATTTTAAAACAGAGATGCCTGTGCATCCTCTACCTAGTGGTGTGCTGTAATTGCTCGGGAGCTTAGTGAGTGAGGTGGACACTGCAGGACTCTTTAAGTATTTAATAGCATGGGGGTCCCATAGACACTCTACGTGTTAAGAAACACAGGTTGTGACACAGGCTTCAGAGTTCTCAGTGCTTACACTGCTGCAGCTGCTGAAAGAACTTGGGGAGAAGACTCCCATCCATTCTGCAGTCGGCCCTGCAGTGCCTCCATGCAGGGCTGAGATAGCTTCTCCCAAAGTTTAAGGCAGAAAGCCTCAGGTCATTTCAACTGCACCCATCAGACATTTTGGTGATCGGCACTGAACACAGACTCACCATGGAGCTGAGGCTCAGCTGGGTTTTCCTTGTTGCTCTGTTAAGAGGTGATTTACGGAGAAGATACATTGCGTGTGTGAGTGAACACAGGTAAAGGAGACAGTAGGCATGTGTGAGTTTCCTGACCAATATTTTCTGTTTGCAGGTGTCCAGTGTGAGGTGCAGCTGGTAGAGTCTGGTGGAGGCCTGGTGCAGCCTGGGGGATCCCTGACCCTCTCCTGTGTGGCCTCTGGATTCACCTTCAGTAGCTATGGCATGCACTGGGTCTGCCAGGCTCCAGGCAAAGGACTGGAGTGGACTGCAGCTATTAGCCCAAATAGTGCTAGTATGTACTACCTAGAATCTGTGAAGGGCCAATTCACCATCTCCAGAGACAACGCCAAGAACACCCTGCACCTGCAAATGAGTGGTCTGAGATCTGAGGACACAACCATGTATTACTGTGCAAGAGACACAGTGAGTGAATCTTACTGTGAGTCAGACACAAACCTCGCTGTGGAGTGCTCAGGCCCAGCAGGGGGTGCTGAGGACACACAAAGCTCAGGGTCCCTCCAGAGCAGGAGTAGAGGGGTGTGAAAATCCCAACCCCTCTGGGTCTCTGCTGGGTGTCTATGACATAGAGCAGTGTTCTCATATGAACTCTGTACAGATAGTGTGTGCACAAGTCTTCAAAGTGCTGTTATGAGGTGCATTTTAAAACAGAGATGCCTGTGCATCTTCTACCTAGTGGTGTGCTGTAATTGCTTGGGAGCTTAGTGAGTGAAGTGGACACTGCAGGACTCTTTAAGTATTTAATAGCATGGGGGTCCCATAGACACTCTACGTGTTAAGAAACACAGGTTGTGACACATAGTGTGTGCACAAGTCTTCAAAGTGCTGTTATGAGGTGCATTTTAAAACAGAGATGCCTGTGCATCTTCTACCTAGTGGTGTGCTGTAATTGCTTGGGAGCTTAGTGAGTGAAGTGGACACTGCAGGACTCTTTAAGTATTTAATAGCATGGGGGTCCCATAGACACTCTACGTGTTAAGAAACACAGGTTGTGACACAGGCTTCAGAGTTCTCAGTGCTTACACTGCTGCAGCTGCTGAAAGAACTTGGGGAGAAGACTCCCATCCATTCTGCAGTCGGCCCTGCAGTGCCTCCATGCAGGGCTGAGATAGCTTCTCCCAAAGTTTAAGGCAGAAAGCCTCAGGTCATTTCAACTGCACCCATCAGACATCTGCAGGCCCAGATAACAGAAAGTGATTTCAGCAGAGGAGGCCTCAGGTCCACCTAGGCCACTGTCATCTTAACCCTTATTTGTTGGGGAACCCTGCTGTTAGGGTCACAGTTTTTTTATGTCCAGATAGCCTAAGGGGCTCGGCATTTGATGGAGAGACTACCCTTTTCAGCGGGGCGCCTCCTACTCTCTTCCTGGCTCACCTTTGAAATGGCCGCCACAGATGCCTTACCTGAAACATGACCTCTGGCATAGAAACTACCGGGTTTTTTTTAATGTGATAATCAGGCACTGTCTGACAGCATAGAAGCCCACCGCCTCATGTAAATAAAGCATTCTAGGGGCACCTATCAACTGAGGCTTTTGCTACTGCCTGCACACTATAAATTCTCTAGTTTCCCCCTAATAAACTGGAGCTGTATCACTGAATCTGACTGAGCTGTGTTTCACTGCCCCTGGGACCAGCCTGTGAGCAGTCTTCCCAGAGGAGCTGTCCCCCATCAACACCCACTCACCCGATTCTGCGTTCGCCGTTCCTGCACTTCCCTGCCCTCGTGGTTCGGTGGCCAATGACCCACGAGCCGAGGGGTAGCATCCCGCAGCTAGCCTGAGCCCCCTGCAGCTTGGCGCAGCCCACCCGGCAGCTTGCAGCCAGCCTGCAGAGCCGCCAGCGCCCAGCAGCCTGCCTTGGCGCAGAGCCTGCACTCCCCGCCGTGGACCCACCGATCTGTAGCTCCCAGCACCCGGCAGTTGCAGAGAGCCAGAGACCTGCCCAGCAGCAAGACCCACACCCCCACCCCAACAACACTTATTCAGAGCAGCTATTTGCCTCGAGGACAGGGGAAAACTAGTCATTATTGCCCAGCTCTGTATTAACAATTTTTATACCACATGAAAACAAACTATGCTGGAGAGTTCATTGGTTTATCACCTGCTAATACAGTTCATGTCGCAGGGGTAGGCGAGTTGGAGAGATGGCTAAGCACTTAAGAACGAGTA